ACCTTCGTATTAAAAACGGTGAATCTGGAGAAGTTGAATCGTAATCAGCGGGTGTTTCTCCGCAGTGACAGAGATAAACGCGAGCGGCCGATAGTGTCCAAAAGCTCCGCAGACAAATCGCCGTAATCCCCGATAACGGCGTCCGCGTGGAATCAAACGCGGCTTTCATTTCACTAAAGCCAAATAAAACGACGTGATGACTGCAGTTTCGCTATCGCACAGACTCGGCTCTATCTGCCGCTCGGGGCCGATATCTGACCAGCCGATGTGTTTATTCAGAGACGTTTGGACACAGACGCTCTTATCGTCTCACATCTTCTACTGTAAATAACTGTGATTTTATTAAAGACGCGAGACGACGGAAACACGCGGGTGAACACTTCCCCACGAAGGGAAGGATAAAACCGAGGACTCAGCAGCAGGAAACACCGAGTCCAGGGAGTTTGGTACCACGTAACGAAAGGACTAAACCAGGTCTAAACCAGGACTAAACCAGGACTAAACCAGGTCTAAACCAGGACTAAACCAAGACTAAATCAGGACTAAACCAAGAGTAAACCAGGTCTAAACCAGGACTAAACCAGGACTAAACCAGGTCTAAACCAGGACTAAACCAAGACTAAATCAGGACTAAACCAAGAGTAAACCAGGTCTAAACCAGGACTAAACCAAGAGTAAACCAGGTCTAAACCAGGACTAAATCAGGACTAAACCAGGTCTAAACCAGGACTAAACCAAGACTAAATCAGGACTAAACCAAAAGTAAATCAGGACTAAACCCAGGACTAAACCAAGAGTAAATCAGGTCTAAACCAGGACTAAACCAAGAGTAAATCAGGTCTAAACCAGGACTAAACCAAGAGTAAACCAGGTCTAAACCAGGACTAAACCAAGACTAAATCAGGACTAAACCCAGGACTAAACCAAGAGTAAATCAGGTCTAAACCAGGACTAAACCAAGACTAAATCAGGACTAAACCCAGGACTAAACCAAGAGTAAATCAGGTCTAAACCAGGACTAAACCAAGACTAAATCAGGACTAAACCCAGGACTAAACCAAGACTAAATCAGGACTAAACCCAGGACTAAACCAAGAGTAAATCAGGTCTAAACCAGGACTAAACCAAGAGTAAATCAGGTCTAAACCAGGACTAAACCAAGAGTAAATCAGGTCTAAACCAGGACTAAACCAAGACTAAATCAGGTCTAAACCAGGTCTAAACCAGGACTAAACCAAGACTAAATCAGGACTAAACCAAGAGTAAATCAGGTCTAAACCAGGACTAAACCCAGGACTAAACCAGGTCTAAACCCAGGACTATCTATCTGCCGCTATGGGCCGGTATATAAAACAGGTCTAAAACCAGGACTAAACCCAGGACTAAACCCTGGTTTTAGTCCTGGTTTAGACCTGGTTTAGACCTGGTTTTTAGACCTGGTTTTAGACCTGGTTTAGATCTAGTTTAGACCTGGTTTAGTTTCCGGTAATGAGCGTTAAACCAGGTGTAAACCAGGAAATGGAGAGTGGACGGATGATGGGTTTTGTGATACACTTGCAGATGTAAAAACAGAACATCTGTGCGTCTCTATCAAATATGTGTCAGTTTTAGGAGCACATCTCCAAGTGTCCTGAGTCACATAAAAAAAATAAAAAATCAGATCTTTGTTGTTCAGATGGTCATTAAAAGATCAGATACAGGAGCATAGGGATGAAACAGTCAGATTTGGGTCACTTCAGGCTGCAGTGTGAACGTAGCCATAGATGTAATCTGGTAAATGAGGAAGGGAAAACACAGACTAAAAAGAGGAGCTAATGAAGGTGCACATTAGGGTGGGACAATAATCAAAGAGAGCAGAAGTAAATCTGCAACAGAAACAAGGTAAGTGATTTCAAAATAAAAGGGAAGCAAACAGGACATGACAAAATATACCGTTTACAATTATAAATGTTTTTTTTTTTTTTTTCCTCATTCTCAATAGGTCATATGTGCAGGCCATACCTCATGTGAAGCTCAGAACCTCCAGAATTCCCTCCCTGAGCTGCAGAGGCTGCACTAGCACTGAGTCAGGATCTGCTGCAGGGTCCGGGGTTTAGGTCATGACAGAGACAGACATTTTTAGGTTTAAACCAACTGGATTTCAGCTTTGAAACTGGCAACACAAATAAGGCTGCGTTCAGACTGCAGCCTGAAGTGACCCAACTCCGATTTTTTGGCTTCTATGTTCCTGTATCTGATCTTTTAATGACAGTCTGAACGACACAGATCAGATTTTTTCAAATGTGACCCAGGACACTTGGATATGTGGTCCTGAAACTGATACATATCTGATCTTTTGACATGACATCATTTTGAAACAATAAAGAAAAAGTATTTACAATATATACACACACACCAGCAAAGTCTGCTTAAATCTCTGCAGGTCCAGGTTTGAACTGACTGAGGGAGGGAGAGTGGCTCTTTTATCCCCCATGACTCCTCCCCCAAGCCAATTAACTAAGAAATGTGGGTTTTCACCCTTAAAACCCAAATTATTGATAACAATGAAATAAGGAAAAAAACCAGAAAAATACAGTAAATGATATGGCCATGTCTCTGCGCCTGTAGCAGCAATAGAAAATAAGAAACTAATATTTTATTATCAACTGTGTTTTTTTTTTGGTGATGACGTCACAGTGACGTCACATGCGAAGGTCCCGCGCCCGAAACCGGAAATAGGAAGTGTCAGGTCAGTGCTCTGTTTGCCAGTGGGGCGTGAGGACAGGGGATGGATAACGCGGAAAGACGAAGTTATGGATGTGAAGGATTTGGCAGCGGACTTGTGTGCACCCAAGGCTACTGCGGTGGTGAGCGGACGGAAAATGTGTAGCGGGGACCGGAGCGGACGGACGGGGAGTGAGCAACAGAGCAGAGTACGGTGCGGAATAATGAAGACAGGTGGGTAGTTAGTTTAAAACATATGGAACTTTAGAACCAAAAATGGTACAGAAAAAAGGCGAACAGTTTCATAAACTAGAGTACATATGTATCTGTTCAATACATTTTTATATCAGATGCATTAACTTGAATTTTTGGCCTTGTTGTTTACTTCTACTTGACCCTATGCATCTTACAAAACATTCTGGTTTGTGACGTAAGCTTCCGGTGTCGTTCCCGACACTGGGCTCGTCGACCGGCTGTGATCAAACCCACTGAAGCAAATGGGATCAGAGGTAAAATGAAAACTGCAGACGTATGTGCTGTTTGGAATCATCTGGAATTTGGCCTCATCTCTTCTAATCACATGAACCCAGTGCACTCGGAGTTGTGCGTCAGTGTGGAAATGATGAAAACTGAGGTATTGTTGTAACTGTTGATTAGTCTAACATAACGGAGCTCTACAGTGAGATCTAGATGGAGAAAACTGGACATTTTCTCATTTTTCCTAGATTTCATCAGCGAACAGAGCCCGCAGGAAGTTGTAATCGCATCTTTCCAAACATCTTCCTGGTTTGTAAAGTATTGTTCTCAGTAAAACTATATTTTGTTTGAACATGTTTACCTCATATTTGGGGACACAGTTAGGTCATGTTTGTAAAATTTAAAATCTAAATCTTACACTGTTCCTTCGAAATGATTCCTCGTCAGTTCCGTCAGACCAGCCCAAAGTGTTTCTACCCAACAGAGTGCGGCTCATGTGGCTCGAATGTAATCCACACGGTGACGCACACAGACCGACCACAGTAATTATACCAATAAACACAGAACATCCCCGACATGTTCATCCAGCCTCATTACCGCGCCCACACACCGCCGCAATGACATCATGTCTTATTCCACCGGCTGTGTCACGTCAGGAGCCATTAGAGCCGTTTGAAAAGTGTCTCCCCGTAACAATATGGTGCCTCCTCGTGTTTTCACCATCGTGCACAGGGACGCCAGAGTTTTGGAGAGAAACAAGCATCTAAGCCTTAGAAAAACAAAAATGACCCCAAAGAAGCAACTGGACCATTAAGAGCCTCTGTTCCAGTCATTCTTGCACCCATCAACATGAAAAAGTACAGCCAAAAAGATCTGGCGTTGGGCTGTGCGGTTTATCACGTTTCAAATTCTTTTTATTTTTTTATTTTTTTTTATTAATCAATTCTAGTTTTATACACATACATATGTATACACGTATATATACATACATACATTTTCCTCCTGTTTATGGTCGTACAAACTAACAGTAGTGTTAACAGAGGGACGAAAGTTTATCGTTTATGATCATGCAAAACAAACAACAATATAAATGAAAAGATAATAATAAAAAAAAACAACAACAACATATATATATGTATACACACATATACATATACATATATATACATACATACACACATATAAAGTTTATTTGTTTTTCGTTTATGGTCTTACAAACTAATAATAATGTTAACAAAGGCATAAAAGTTTATCGTTTATGATCGTGCGAAAAAACTACAATGAGAAATAGAAAATAAATAAATATATATATACATGTATATATATACGTACACACATACACATATACATACACATATATATACACATATAAAATAAAAAGTATAAGGATTATTTGTTTTTCGTTTATGGTCTTGCAAACTAATAATAATAATAATAACGAAGGCGTAAAAGTTTATCATTTACGATCGTGCGAAATAAACTAATCTCATTGTAAAGTAAGGACATTTTTGTTTTCGTTATAGTCGTACAAACTAATAATAACGTTAATGAAGGCGACAAAGATTATCGTTTATGATCGTGTGAAACAAGCAACGGTGAGCGTGAAAGAAATATAGGATTATGATCATGTATTTTTTTTTTGTGTTTTTGTTATATTGTCCAATCAACTAATTCTTGCCGCGAGCGGCCCCCGCACCCCTTCAGTGCCTACGGGTGAATGTGGAGCCTTAGCGGGAAGGTTGTTAGGGAGGTGTGGGGTTGGGGGTGGTCGTTAGTGGGTGTATGATGAGGGAGATGGAAGAAGGTGCTGGCTGGTGTACTCTTTTTCTTCTTGTTTTTTGTCGGTTTTCTTGGTGTACCATTCAGTTGTATTAGTGGTAAGGGCATAGGCAGAGTTACGAGGCAGTGTGCCATTGAACGCCCTTTGGTAAGAGGAGACGTAGGTGTACATAGGATTTTAGAGATTGTTTATAATGTTTTGATTATGTTTGATTGTGCCCCAAGTACAGATTTACAAATTTGCAGTTTAGTTATTGTTTCATCATGGTGTAGACAACATGGTTGATCACTGACTAACACGAATTTAGGGGAGTTAACTTGAGTAGGTCCGGTAATGTTTTCTTTGGGGATGGTGATATATTATGGTCATTTATAAGTTAAATAGCCGGTGGTTGTGGTAATTTGAATCATAGAAAATCGGGCACGTGGGGGGTACTCGGGGGGGGGGTGCGTTGCTCAGTAATTTCGGAGTGCTACATAGTGATTGAAATCTGCGTGGTCGTAGGGATTGGTGGGTTTACTGACTGGTTGTGGTTTTAGTTGAAGGTGTGTGCACACGTGGTGTGCTCTCGGGTAATTGTCTATCAATATTGTTTTAGCATATCGATTCTTTTGTTATAGTTACGAGTATGTTTTGATGATTGTGTCGTGTGGGTTTTGATGATGGATTACGTCTTGGAAGTGAGGTATATTCTCTGCAGGTGATTGATCTAAGTAGTTGTATTTTTTGTCTTGTGGTGATTTTGTTTTTTGTTTTGTGGTTTGTTTTTGTTTTAGTGTGTAGTTGTTTTTGTTGTTTTTGTTCTTTGGTTTTTTGTATTTTTGTTTGTGGTGTTTGATTTGTTTTTTTTGGTTGTGTTTTTTTTGGTAGGTGTTTGTTGTTATGAGTGATTGTGTGCTGTGTTGTTTTTTTTGTGTGGTGGTTGGTTGTTTTTGTGTGTGTATCGTTTGGGGGTGCGTTTTCTGTGTTTTTGTTTTGGGTTTTGTGGTGTTTGGTTTTTTTTTTGTTGGTGTTTGTTGGTTGTTTTGGTATATTTTTTGTTGCTTTTTTTTTTTTTTTGGAGGGTTTGGGTGGTTGTTTTTATGGTTGTGTCGTTGTTTGTTGATATGTTGTTTGTTGTGTGCGTTGTTGTGTTTTGTTGTGTTGTTGGTGTTGTGTTCGTATTTGTGGGTTGGTGTGGTGGATGATTTGTTTGTGGTTGTTTTTTTTTGGTCGTTGTCATGGGGGGGTTTGTTTGGTTTCTGGTGTTGTTGGTTTTTTGTGGGTTTTTTTGTGTGGTTTGGGTGTTTTTGTGTTATTATAGTGGTGTGTTTGGTGTTGTTGTTTGTTTGCTTTGTTTTGTTTTTTTTGTTTTTTTGTTTTGGGGTTGTTTGGTTTTTGGTGTTTCGGTATGGTGTTGTTTGTTTCATTTTGGGGGAGTTTGTTGTTGTTGTTTTTTGTTTTTTTTTTTGTTTTTTTTTTTTGAGTGGGTTTTGTTTTGGTTTTGGAGTTGTTTTTTTTGGGTGGTGGTGATTTTGGGGAGTTATTTGTGTTTCTTTGGCTTTTTTGTTTCTTGAAGTTTATTTTTGTTTTTTTTTTTTTTTGTGTGTGATTTTTTTTGGTTTTGTTTTTGTGGTTTTTGGTGTGGTGGGGTTTTGTTGTTTTTGGGTTTTTTTGGTGTTGTTGTTTTTTGGGTTTTGTTTTTTTTTTTGTTTGTTGGTTTTTTGTGTTGTTTCTGCTTTGGCTGTTGTTTGTCTGGGATTTTTTTGTTTTTTTTTTGCGTGCTGTTTTGTCTTGGGTTTTTGGTTTTTTGTTTGTGTTGGATTGTTGTTTGTTTTGCGGTTTGTGTGTTTGATGGGTGTGGGGGAGTGGGGTGTGTTTTGTGTTGGAGTGTTGTGGTGGTTTTTTTTGGGGGTTGTGTGGGGGGATCGAGTGGTGTGTTGGGGGTGGGGGGTGGTTGGTTTGGGTTGGATTTTTAATGGAGATATCGGTGGGGGTTGGTGTGGCAGTGTCGTGGGTTTTGGGAGGGGGGGGGTCGGGGGTGGAGATTAATAGGCTGGTAGCTTGTTCTTGTGGGAGGTTAGATTTAGTCGTGGGTGTGTGCCGGAATGGCAGTGAGGAGCGTGCCTTTGTGGGGAGGCTTGGTTTCAGCCTGAGGTGGGAGTGTGGGTGTTGTGTGGGGGGGGGAGGGTTGTGGGTTGTCATGGTTGATTTTAGTTGTGTGTCGGTTTTTTTTTTTTGTTGGCGACTTGTGGCAGCCAGGGCAGTGTTTAGTGTTCTGCTAGTTATATGAGCAGTTTGGTGAGCCAAACGTAAGTTTTTTCCCGACATTTGTCGGTTGGGTTGGTATGTTTTGCTGTATCGTGCCGTGTGTGAGCGTCTTTGTGTTTATTTTTTTTTTTTATAACGTTTTTGGTAGTTGTGGAATGGGAATGAGACGTCCGCTGGTTGTTCTCGAGAAGTATTCTTCGTTTTATGTATTAAATTCTGTGAGCGAAATCTTCTCGGGTAGCGTGTCTGGTGTTGTGTATCCTCAAGATGGAGGATTTGTGTGATAGTGTTTTGGTTGTCTTGATTGTGATGAGAGCTTAAGGTTATATGGAGAGTAGTTATGGTTTTGGATTAACATTGTTGGGATGTGGTGCGATCTTTCTACGTTCTGCCAAACATAAAATCGTTAAAGGAGCTTGGTACTTGTTATTGAGCGTGTTAATAGGCTAATTATGCTATAATGAGGCGAGGTGTTTTCCATGATGTTACTGTGGTCTGCAGGGTACCTTGCATCGGTGAAGGATGATGAGGTTGCCGTGTGAACTGTGATTTGTCCCTTTCTTCATAATTGTCTTGCGATAGGTATCTTTTTAGTATGTTGTGGTGAAGGGTGTGTTCTTGTTTTGTTTTGCGTGTCTAGTTTGTTTGTACTCTGGTCGAGTTGATTGATTAGGTATTGTGGATCTATGTGTTTCATGTGTTTCAATGTGGTTTATGTTTGTGTGGTGAAGACGACCCCCTTCTTAGGCCTTTGTGGCTTAGTTTAGAGAACATCTCGTCTCCCTCGTCCTTGGCTTTACGCTCAGAATACATGGTTTGTTCAGCCGTTGAACATGTTATGCTTTTGTTGGTAGTGTGTTTTTGGATTATAGGCATTATATTAGGTTTTTTGATTTACTTAATTATATTGCGGATATAACTTTTCTTATCGCTGTCGGGAGTCTGTTTTTTGGTGGGTGTGTGGGGGTTATGGAGACAATAAGACGATGGATGGATGTAAGTATGTTTGTGTGTCTGTGGTTATTGTTGGTTGGGTGTGTGGTGATCAGGGAAAGCCCGCGGGGGGCACTCGGATGCTTGGATTCGGTGATGTATCATACACGGACCACTTTCGTCCTGTGACTGAGAAACGGTGCAAAGCACAATGAGGCAGAGCGGGTTGTGGGGGGGGAGAAGTGGTGAGATGGATGGTCGTTATGGTAATGTTGGGAGGATAGGGGGGGGGGGGGGGTGGGGGGGGGGGGAGGGGGCGGTGATGGGGGGGAGGGGTGGGGTGGGGGGGAGGGGGGGGCGAGGGAGGGGGAGGGGGTAGGGGCGGTGTGGGGATGGGGTGTGGGGGTGGAGGGGGGGGGGGGAGGGGGGGGTGGGGTGGGGGGTGGGTTGGGATGCGGTGGGTCGTGGGGAGGTGAGGGGTGGTGGCGAGTGGATGAGACGATGAGAAAGTAGCGGGGTGACAGACAGCGCTGGTGGGGGAGGGAGCTATGGCAAGTGTGTGTCTTCTTGTCGGAGTGGATTGCCGGTGTGTGTGGAAAATGGCGGTTTTCAGATGGCGTGTGGGTGGGGTGGGGAGTGTATCCTTTTCGGTGGTGGGGGGAGGGGGGTGGCTGTTGGGGTGTGATGAAAACGTTTTGTGTGGGTAGCTCTTTGGTGGAGGATAAATGGTTACGTTCATTAAATAAGGCGTGAGTTTCGGCGTGCTCTAGGGGGCGGGGGAGTTAATTTGGTGGTTGACCAGTGCGGGAGGGGTGGTGCGCGTCCAAGTTCAGTTAGACCTTGCGTGGTGAGTCGCGTTTTAGTCAGCACCATGCGCTGGGGATATGAATCTTCAAGAAATCACTTAGATTTGTCTTCTGCTAGCTTCCCTTGGCTGCTTCGTTGTTGGAATGGGATGTTCGAGTGGGGAGAGAGGGGGAGGGGGGGTGGGTCTCAGCAGAGTTCACTCAAATAAAACTGATAACTTCTTTTGGGACTATAGGCGAATGCTCCGTATTCTTTGTCGCCATGTGCACATTAACTTTGGGGCGAACTGGTTTGGGAAGAATATGAGGTCGAAAAAATGTCCGGTAATGAAGGCATGTTGCGAGATTGTGGGGGTGGGGAGGTAATAACAGGGACTTCGGGGTTGCGCTCTGGTGCGTCTGGTTGACTGGGGTAGTGACTAGTTGTATCGTATTAACCTAGTGTGCGTATACGGGCGCGCGTGGCAGTCAGTTACAGCTTAGAAACGTAGGGAGTTGAATTGCAGCCTGTCAGCTACAGATAATGACGGCAGTTGGTCGTCTGGTATTCATATTTGGGCAATCAATGTTTGAAGCTCACACGCGCTCCAGAGTTTGTTTATGAGTTTTTATTTCTCTTTCTTTCTTGTGTGCCTATGCATTAATTTACCAAGGCTACGTGATGATCTTATATCGTTATCACTGCAATTTGAAAGCAAAACAAAAAAACAAAAAATGCCTCCTTGGACAACGGCTTTTCAAGCTCTGCAGTATGAACGTGCCTGGAGAGCCCCTGGTATCGGCGGAATAATGTATCGTTCAAGCTGAGCATATAGATATTTAACGGAACCACATGACTCTAAGGGTTAGACGCAGCGTCTAGCTTAGTGCACGTTCGTTACGAGTAATGCTCTTTACTGGATATCCTGTTCGTGTTCAGTATTGTTGACAGATACAAGACAAAGGGGAGCCGTAAAATTGAAAAAATGCATTTTAATATGTGTGTCACTAGTAGTAAAGGCTAGATTGTTAGTTGTGTATCTTCATGAGTGGCAGCGTTATTGAAATTTCTGTCAAGGAGTGAATAGCGAATCTGTTCCAGAGCTCAATGACGATGCAATAAAAAAGCCAGATGTTTGGCACTTTAACTTAGTCAGATGTCCACTAATAATATCCCAGTGTGTATGGTCTATTCAGTATTTCAATAATGTACAATATTTCTAGAGCTCAAGCCTCTGTAAGCCCAACCAATGGGTTCTGCAGGGGGTGTGATTAGGCTAGATATGCGTACAAACGGAATTAAATATTAGCATTGTTGTGCGAAGACAGTCCAGTGTCGTGATTACATCAAGGAGTTTTCTCTCAGAGTGAAAGATGTGCTGGTGCAGTGCGAAGTAGAAGCGCAGAAAAGACAGAATAGATTGTCAATGAGTGGGCACGATGTTGTTTCTCTTCTCTGGATTGTTGTGTATAGATGTTGCCTTCATTTCTCAAATATATACTGACCTGAGAGTCACTTATGCTACTGGCATGCATTATGAGAGCGGTTATTTACGTTGCAATCCAGTTAGAAGCGTTAGATGACGTGGTTTTTTTGAGGTATTCCGGGGTGTTCTTGATGGTGTCTATGTGTTAAACGCAGTAACCCGGTTTTCTAGGTAACGCGGGTCTTCAGTAGGACTCGTTGTTGATTTAGGGAACAGGCCGGGGCTTACTGTAGCTGGTTCGTATTTCCGATGGTAAACGTTGATACTTTGTTGCATGTAAACGCAGAGTTCCCGGGCTTACTGAGGCAACATAGAAGTTTGAGTCGCGTGAATGGATGCGTCCCAAAATGACACTTTCAGCTTTTCACCCACACAGATGAGCGACATAAATAAGTTGACCGACGATAAATAAAGTTGAGCCAAACGCAGTGAAGATGATGTAGGATTAAGAGCTGCGCTAAATATCGTGCATATTTCATATCTGCACTTCGTTGTGACCTAGAGGAAAGGCATAAAGCCTGAACTATTCTCATGGTACACACCCCACAGAACACACTCTACATCATTAGCAGCGGCGGCTGTATCTGGCAGTTCAGATAGTATACACACATAATCCACAGAGTTGTCATTTAGTCCAAAGAAACTGATCGCGGAATCAGCGCGCTAAGAGATGGCGAGTTGCAGTAGTTTTGGTGTTGCGCGCGGGGGCTAACAGTTTTGGTATGCCTGAAGTTATGCAAACGTGGTCTTCTTAGGTTTCGGTTTCTTGTAACGTGTTAGACATCAAGATGTGATCAGAGGGCGTTGAATGATCTGATCTAAACGGGGCTGATGTGTTATAGTGTTTGGTGTGAGGGATGTGGTGTGGGCGGGGGTTTCTGATTATTTGTGTGATTGACGAGAAGGTAGATGGGTTATATTGGGAGAATTTGAGCAGTGGATTGTGGCGATGAGAGCATCCGTGAGCTCCTGCTTTAGGGCTTCTTAGTGGACTAAAGGGAGTGGCTCGGAGATCGGTTGTGGGTATTTCGCTGGTGGTATGAAGATGAGGTGTGTTGGTAAAGTGAATGGTGTGGTTTGCGTGGTGTGGAGGTCGCATTGTAGAAGATTTATGTCAAGATGGCCGGGATATCTCATCTGATCATGCTTAGCACGCCGATGGATGAGGTTGTCCCTGTTTTCTCATTCATTAAAACTACTTGTTGTGAGAACACGAATCACTGAGCATATACACGGGATATGGGGGTCTATAAATAATCTCGGGATAGTGTGTGTGCAGTGAAGATACGGGCATCTGTCACGCTGATTTAGAAAATGAAATTAAAGAGTGTGCGTCATGAATTAAGATGGATTGAGTAGATTAACCGTTATGGGATCGGGGGGAGCAACTGACGTGTTGAATCCAGGGAATAAGACGCAGGAGGGGGAGTTACTCTAAACTTTACAAGTTCCGCGGTGAAAGGATGTGAGAAGGGAGGACAATACAACGGGAGTGTATCAGTTTTGCGTAGATGACTATGTCCGTTTAAAGGACACGGTGGGGGGCAGGTGTTATTAAAGATGTGGAGCTTTTACGTCTTGTCACTGCTGGCTTGGGAGGATGTTGGCGTGGGGGATGGGGGGGGGGTCTGGGGAGAGGGGTGGGTGATGGAGTGGTTGTGCTGGGGAGAGGGGGGGGAGCGGTGTGGTCGCGGAGGGGTATGGCGGACGCCGCCTTGTTATGAGTGGTGGGGGTGATGGTGACAGCGGTGAGGGATTAGGTCGCTCTAGACACCCGCCCCCTCCGGACTTCCATGTTGTTGCACAGAGTCGGTTTTCCGAGGTTCCTGCCGTGTGTCGGAGGCTTGTGTGGCGTCTACTGCGTCTCTGGCGGCTTATTGGTGACATCATGTCCATGGGATAGCATAATCTGGGTGGATAAACCTGGACTAGAGGCCTGGACTAAACCTGGACTAACCTGGCATAAACCTGGGACAAAACTGACTAGACCTGGGAACTAGACCTGGGGACTAAAACCTGGACTAAACCTGGACTAGACCTGACTAAACCTGGGACTAACCTGGGAGAAACCTGGCGACTAAACCTGGGACTAAACTGGACTAGACCTGGACTAAACCTGGACGACTAGACTAAACCTGGACTAACCTGGCGACTAAACCTGGACTAAACCTGGGACTAAACTGGGACTAAATTTGACTAAATCTGAGGACTTAAACTGACTAAATCTTGACTAAATCTGGACTAAATCTGGACTAAATCTTTGCTGAAATCTGAGACTAAACTAAATCTGAACTAAAGATCTGGGACTAAATCTTGGACTAAATCTTGGACTAAACCTGGGACTAATCTTGGACTAAATCTGAGACTCAACCTCGGACAAAATCTTGGACAAAATCTTGGACAAAATCTTGGACTAAATCTGAGACTAAATCTTGGACTAAACCTGGGACTAAACCTGGGACTAAACCTGGGACTAAACCTGAGACTAAATCTTGGACTAAATCTGAGACTAAACCTGGGACTCAATCTTGGACTAAACCTGGGACTAAATTTGGGACTAAACCCGAGACTAAATCTGAGACTAAACCTGGGACTCAATCTTGGACTAAATCTGAGACTCAACCTCGGACAAAATCTTGGACAAAATCTTGGACTAAATCTGAGACTAAATCTTGGACTAAATCTGGGACTAAACCTGAGACTAAATCTTGGACTAAACCTGAAACTAAACCTGGACTAGACCAGGATTAAACTGGACAAGAACAGGGATAATAAAAGTGAACATCAGGCTTGATGGCCTCTCAGCTCGCAGACGCTTGTGTAGATCAAAAATAGTGTGAACTGGACGGTCATCAGTTTGGGACCAGACCGAGACCGCGGCGGTTATTAAGTCTGTACCAGAAACAGAGTCATGTGGGCCCTTTAGACGACCACGATTCTTCTTAAATGGACTGGATCACGTAGTAAGATTTTTATAAGAAATAATTCAAGAAAAATAATAAGTTACAATCCTGGAGGAATTCAAACTTTCTGCTGCATTATCAGAGTAATATAATTGTAAAACAGCAGATTTGTTGCGGTCAGTGTCGGGGAGTAACAGATTACATGTACCGGAGTTAAGTAATCTGAGTACAAATGATGAGTAACTGTATTCAGTTACAGTTACTGTTTCAGTGAGTGGTAATGGGATTACAGTTACTTTGTTGAAATAAATGGGATTTTACACAGCGGGATTTTCCTGTTTTCACATTTTGGGCTAAATCCTTTCTTTTTTTGGTAATTCCACTCATTGCCGGACGCAAAACCAGGACTGAACCAGGACTGAACCCAGGTCTAAACCAGGACTAAAACCAGGTCTAAACCAGGTCTAAACCAGGACTAAACCAGGACTAAACCAGAACTAAACCAGGACTAAACCAGGACTAAACTAGATCTAA